CGTCCGAACCACTAGGCGGCGACAATGAAAGAGTTAAGCATCTGAAATTACAACGCTCACACAGTATCGACGGTGTGGTTTAACCTTCTCTACAATTAGTGTGACAAACGCTGCAGAATTTTTCGCAGCGATGAGTTTGAGGCAAGTCGTACCCTTTGAAACAGCTTGTGCAAACATAGCCCGCCCCTAATTTAATGCCGTAAAAATGCTGATTGTGTAAAAAGAAATACACCACCTGTCTACTGCCGGTAGGTGTGGGTGTCTGGTAAATGTGGAGATTGTTTGAATATGGTTGTCTCAAAATTGATAATGTCATTCAAAGCGACAGTGTGGTCGGGGGTGAATCCCGCTTTCTCCTGTAACTCCAGGCCGAGCTTTTCAGCCTTGGCGTCAGTGAAGTTTCCATGGAGCAGGTGCGCCAAGTTTATGGCAAAACACGCTCTGCTGTCGTTCTGAATGATAAACATGTGTTTGGCTTTTTTAGAAATTATTTCTGTAGCTAGCATAGTCTGTAGTTTTCGTTTGTTCCCACCGCCGCGTGGGATATTGATTACATCTACGATTACTTCTAGGTTGGAATCGTTTAAAATCTCTTGATTAGACTGAACCAGGCGATCTAGCAGTTGCTGGAAGTCTGTCAGCTCCCCCTCCCCATACCGTACAATTTGCGACAGCTCGTCGTTAAAAAAGTCACCGCGCAGGGTGACCTGTATATAAGCTCCCCATGCGGCGTAAGGTATCGCCTCATTCACAATATTTTGAAACCCCCGATTACATTTTCGTAGTACTTGCGGAAATTGGCTTAGTTTCTAGGTTGCGGAATATTTAGAATCCACCTAATCTGTACATTATTGAATCTATGACGTTGTACAACCCCGTCAGGCTGGGGATCCAACATTTCCATGTCACCACCACCTTCCTGTTCAACATCGGCATTTTCAAATTCTCCCAAATCCCGTACACGATCATCCCAGCCCACCCCCAAGTCATTTTCAATCTCCTCATCATTGAGAAGAAATTCTACGTCTGACAAGGCTTCCAACAATTCAGAATCCGCGGGGGACCATGTGACTTCGTCGCCGGGCAGCCCCCATCCCGCTTCTGGTTCAGAACCCCTTTCATTTAACATGCTTATGTCAGGGTCAGCCCCTGTTGTCTCACTCTGTGTCCCTTCCCTGTTTGACCAGCAGGCATTGCTGGTCATCCCGTCCTTCATGTTAGTCTTTGTGTTTTTTCCCCCTGTTCTCTGTTAGCCTCATGGCTCGATAAGTTGAGCAGCCAGTTGTCTGTGTGCCCTTCTGTCCTGTGTTTGAATCCCACCGCCTTTGTTTTTGTATTTTTTGATCCCTAGTGTTTCATTTGAGTTTCTCTAGTTCTTGTGTTTGATTTTGTAGTTGGTTTTGTTTTGTTCCTTGTGGTCCTGCTTGTCTTTACCTGTCTAATTCCCCAGTGTTGGTTTCTTATTCCTTGGTTAGTTCTTAGTTTCCCTGTTTTTAGTTCCTTTGAGTTATTAGTTTCACCTGTGCCCTGTTTCCCTGGTCTTTGTTAATTAGTCTCACCTGTCCTGTGTTAGTCTCGTTACCCCTTAGTATTTTAGTTCCTGCTTCTGTTCAGTTCCTTAGTGGTTCATTGTTGTTGTTGTTGCTTGTCTAAGCTTTATTAGCTTGGTTAGATCTATATTCTGTTTACCTTCCCAGTTTTCGTTATTTGTGATATTAAGTCTTTAATTATCCCCTTTAGTTTTTGACTCCTCGTGGTCCTTTTGGTTTTGTGTTTGTAGTGTTTTCTGTTTTATTTAATAAACCCCTCTTTGTTCTTGGAGCCGCTAGTGGGTCATCCACGCTTTTTTGTGCCCAATGCCACGTCCTCGTGTCCGAGCCGCCCGGATCCTTGACAGCTTATTAATGTCTCTAAGGATGGTAGGAAACAGGGCTCTTCAACCCTCGCTTCACCAGAAGCTGCGGGTGGCGAGTCGCGTTGAGCAAAGTAGTTCTGATAAACCGCGTCATTTTCATTATTAGCGTTGTTGATGTTGTCGATTTCATCTATTAAGGCTTCGGGTATAGGAGGGGGTGTTGCTCTGTCCATACCTGCTGATTTCAGGTCTTTTTTAGATTTTCTCTTTACCGATCCACGCCGTCTCTCGTAGAAAAAAACAGAGAATACCTATTATTAGAATAAGTTATTTTAATGTATAGCATTCATCATAAAACATGTATAAAAGAAAATAAAATACTCACTCTGAAATTCCTGTGTAGTTTTCTTTTTTTCTTTTTCCAGTGGGGTACAACTTCATATTTGAAATAGGGCTGGGCAATACGGGCAAAATTATATATATAATTTTTTTTTAGGCTGAATACCAATACATACATCAGTATGCACTGATATTGTTATGCTTCGTGCGTGCGGGCGAGCGGACGAGCGGGCAAACAGGCAAGCGAAGCCGGAAATGCAGGCAAACGGGTTTTACTGGGGAAGGGACAGATCCAACACAGCAAACAACACCAAGAAACATTAACGAACATTAATGACGGATCTGGGGAAGACTGACTCAGACACGGACTAAATACAGAAGACAAGCCGAAATAACAAGGAACAGCTGGGCACGATTGGGAAAACACACGTGGATAATGAGGGGGCGTGGCACACATCGGGATCGAACGGAGCGGATCGTGACAGATATGTCACCTAGCCCTAGTGTCAAGGCTTTTTTTTTTTTTTTTGATAGACAAATAGCCAGACAGACAAAAACTTACCGGCATTTCAACAGGCACTTCAGAAGGAAATCTAGCCTCTCTTCCGTACATTAACAAAAATGGTGAGAATTTTGTTGTGGTGTGCACTTTTGATCGCAGTGAAAAAAGTGTTGCATTGAGGTATAGGTCCCAGTCGTCCTGCTGCTGATTCACAAGCTTTTTTAGTGCTCTATGAAGAAGAATTTTTAAATATATGTGCATTAATAATACAGGAAATTGGAGCAACTCTATAGTAAATAAATTAATTCTCATAATTTAGGGACACACAAAGTTCTACTTTAACTGGAGATGGATGTATTTCAAGATGCAAACTATCCAAATTCAACACTTCTCTGATGTTAAACAATTATAACAAACAACAAAAATGTTTTAAAACAAAGCATGGTGTCACGCCCCGCTCCGTCCGCTCCTAGTGTGTGCCACGCCCCCTCATTATCCACGTGTGCTTCCCCGATCGTGCCCAGCTGTTTCCTGTTTCTTTTGCCTTGTCCTGTGTATATGAGTCCGCGTCTCCCCATGTATGCCAGATCCGTCATTGTATTGTCAGTAGATGTCCGTCACTCGTCCGAATAAACCCAGTTTACCTGAAGTCCTGGCTTGCTCTCCTGCTTCCCTGCTCGCCACCTCCGCTGAACGTGACACATGGCGCCAAATAATAATAAAAGTTACCAAAAAAACAAAGCAAAGAATATCATGGCATTTTTACCGTTTGATGTTGTCATTGGCCTTCTCATCAAGCCCATTTGTCTGGGGGTGGTAGGCAGCAGTTACACTCCTCTCAATGGACAGCTGTTTGCAGAGATTGCTGTTAATCTAAAAGAAAAATTAAGCACATTACAGTTATATTTTGTATAAAATCAAGCTGGTAAACTTCTCATAACCATTACAAAATGTATATAGCACAGCTTACTTGATTTACAAACTCCCGTCCTTGGTCTGATAGTATGCGCAGGGGACAACCATGTCTATAAATAAGCGGACAGAGGTTTTTCGCTACTTCCACTGCAGACTTTGTCTTTTGAGGGAAGGCCTCCAGCCACTTGGAAAAATAGTCGGTTGCCGTTAAAATATATTCAAAGCCAGAGGATGTTTTTGGAAGTGGACCTGTGAGGTCAATTCCAACAAGCTCCCAAACAGCAGATACCTGTCAGTAATATACAGTAATATTTGATTACCCAGAATAAATACTGCAGTGAATTAATAAAATACAGTGCATTACAACAGATGGTCACCTTTATGCAATCCAGCGTTTTAACTGCACTCAAAGGCGGCCCCACTCTTTGACACTG